ACGCGGCACACACGCCCGTCACCATGGTCGGCACCAACTGGCCGGGCCACCTGGAGCCCATGATCCCCGAGGGCCTGCAGTACCAGTCGTACAAGACCATCATCGCGCGCATCAAGAGCCTCGGCATGAACACCGTGCGCCTGACGTTCGCGATCCAGATGGTTGACGAGATCTACGAGCGCAACGGCACGGACGTCAGCCTGCGCGAGACGCTGGTGCGGGCGATGGGCGAGGCGAACGGCACGCGCCTGCTGGAGAGCGTGTTGAGGAGTAATAGAGACTTTTGGCCGGAGATGCCGCGCATGGAGGTGTGGCGGAGGGTGGCGGCGGAGCTGGGTAGGCAGCAGGTCGCCCTGCATCTGGATAATCATGTGTCGAAGGCGCAGTGGTGCTGCGGCGCGCATGATGGGAATTCGTGGTTTGGGGATGTGTATTTCGATGTCGAGAAGTGGAAGCGCGGGCTGGCGTATCTGGCGGCAAAGGTGGGTACTGCGAATTGGCTCTCTCTCTCTTCTATCATATAAATATATTCGTGATCTGCTTCAATCCCTTGAGGTCGTTCAGCAGGGCTGACAAAACACTCTGCGAGCGGATGCACAGGCACCCGAATGGCCCTCGCTGGTATCAATCGGAATGCGCAACGAGCTGCGCCAGTCGACCGTCTCCCCCGTGCCCCTCCCATACGACTTCGCCGACTGGTACAAGCACATGACCTCCGCCGCCTCCGCCATCCACGCCGCCAGCCCCGACCTCCTCATCTTCTTCTCGGGCCTCAACTACTCCGAGACGCTCGCGCCGCTGCCGCTCGGCGCCCCGCTCTCCACCACAAACACCAGTCTCGTGTTCCGCGCGTCCGACTTCCCCTGGGCCAACAAGGCTGTCATGGAGCTGCACGTCTACACCATGTCGGACCGCATCAACACCACAGACTGCCGCGAGATGAAGCGGGCCCTGTATGCGAACGGCTTCAGCGCGCTCGACACCATGAACCCCGAGGTGCTGTATCCAATGCCTGTGGTGATGAGCGAGTTTGGCTTCTCGATGAATGGCGAGGTGTGGCAGGGCGTGTATGCGCAGTGCCTCAAGGGGTTCCTCCCCGAGCGCAGGGCGGGCTGGATGAACTGGGCGGTGGCAGGCAGCTACTATGTGAGGAGCGGGGGCGTGGATGTGGATGATACGTGGGGACTGCTGAGCCATGATTGGAGTGCGTGGAGGAGTGAGAGCACGGTGGCGGAGTACTTGAGGCCGTTTGTGCGCGAGACGTTGGCGGGGAAGGGCGCGTGTACGTAGAGAGATGTGTGTATATGCATTCTGTAGTTGACGGGGATACTTCCCTTTGGAACTTGTTGTTTTCCTGGTGAATAGTTTCCTCAATGTATAGATCTGTGTTGGTCTATGGCCGAGACCGATCAGAGTGTCTGCCCACCTGTATATGTACCGCCTACTGTCTGTCCTCCCCCAGAGATTATAATCATAAAAGATCACTTGGGGTCCAAATATCCCCTATGAGCGGGCTCCAGGCAACATTTGCATTCGATTTAACCTCCTTGGTAGTCGCTGGACCAACGATTCCTACTGCGGATGGGCGGGGATTTTCAAGTATTGACTCAAATCTTTCAAGATTACAGCGAAACGCTTCATGATCAAGCCTTGGTAGCTAGCTAGGGCTCCCCATGCACGCCGAATGGCAACTTCAAAGGCCACTGCTTGAAAGCGCCCCGGCATAAGGGTATAAATTCCTGCAGGATTTGTTTGTAGATATTTCTCTCTCATCATCTCATCATCACCGTCATCATTAGCCTAAACCACTACACCCGTATACAGAGTCAGAAAGTATCAAAAAACCAAGCGTCCTAAATCCCGAATTCAAAAAGCCACAAGCCATAACTCAATAAACACACCATATACACACACAAAGCCATGTCCACCACTGCAACACCAGCCACCACATGCTCCTGCCTAGACTTTGGTCTCGACCGCTGCTTCTGTGACCCTGGCCCTACGCGTATGTGCGACAGCACTGATCGGAGATGGGCGTGGTTGAGATGTATGAACAAGGGTCTCTGGCCTAGGTGGATAGAGTTCAATACCTCAAAGAGGATGGCGACCATTCTCGAGAGAGTGGAGGAGGAGGATGAAGAGGGGGGAAAAGAGGAGTAGAATATCTAGTGGGGGAAGCGAAATGGTACATTTAGAGATGGGATGTGAGAGTACTGGCTAGCGAGTTGGATTTTGGTAGAAGATGGATATGGTGAGCATAACTTATAGAGACTTTGGTTATTTGGAGGCAATAGGAAAGAAAATAAATTATAGTTTAGAGAATATTGCTTCAATGAAATATGGCTGGCACCGCATTTTCGGTATAAATGTCTAGTTCTATATCTCATCGCCACTCATCATCGCTGCCCTTATTGCTGGAGCCTTTGAGCTCAGTAATGACTTGCGAGAGAAGCCCACGCCGCACAACCAAATACATCTAACATCTCCGAAGTCGCTTTAGCACCCTTTGATAGCGAACAGGTTTGACGGGGGCTTCTCCACCTCACACGCCGAAGGCCACCATAGTGATTTCACCGCCGGTTGTAGTGCGAGGACGGATATTCATTGCATACGGCAAAAGAGCATTACCGCACTCGGACTTGATCAATGATGTGAACGATTTGAAGTTGCTGAGAAACATACGACAACCAAAAGATGCCGCGAGTCGCAGGGAACAAGAGTCCATCCTTGGGGGGGGGGGGGGGTAGACAGCACAGCTTTCAGAAGGTAATGCGGAACAACCAATGTTTCTAGGCGGGATAGGCCTAGCTGCACGCTGTTTAAGGGCGTCGTGTATTCCAACGCCCATGAGGAGAGTAAGCTATGGGATGAAGAGGGAGATGATTATGATGTATGAATAGGAGGACCATCGCTGGGGTTTCCAACCTATACGGCGTAGTTATGACCGGTTTTCACGTTACCAAACAGTTTGCCGTACGACAACGTGGCGTTCCTTCTCTATAGCCGCCAGTCAGAAGGCCAATATCACCTCAGCATGATTGAAGAGGAGGGAACTTGGAATCTTCGCAATACCAGCATAGAAGTCTGCTATCAGGAAAGCGAACCTTAAGCTCATATGAAATACTTTGTACAGCACCCTACCAAAACCCGTGGGAAATGCGCGCGGCAACGGCTTCGAACACCACAACAACCACAAGTGATCCTTTGAGGAGCTAATAATTTTGTAGAGACTCCGGCCATCCTCCCTTGGCTTTTTGGGTATGGGGCGGCGCCATCGGGTTGTGACAAATTTGTGTCCCGGCGTTGCGGTGTCGCAGCGTTGCATTTCCCACGAATTTTGGTAGGGTGCTATATACACGACTTCATTCAGTGTTATGTTCTGCGAGTAAATACAGAAATAAGGCTGGAGCGGCACCCAGAGCTGTGGGCAATAGGTTCAGGTTCTGAGTCGAAAATAGTTGTGACGGTCGGATTCGGTTTCCGACCAATAGCATTAAAACAAGCTCTATATAATTATTACACTACCATTTCAGACATCAATCAGTCTTTGGTAGTATAGTGGTTAGTATACTCGCTTGTCAAACAACTCGCGAGTGACCGGGGTTCAATTCCCCGCCAGAGAGTTATTTTTTGCTGCTCTGCGGGATGGGTGGGCCTGGGTGGGCCGGGGTGGGTGGCATCGTGAGAAACCTTGAAAGTTGAGGCTGGGCGGAGATCGCCGAAGGTTGGTAGCGCTACCAAGAATGGTGATAAGAGCTGTCTGTGAGCGGAGGGCACTGCAAAATGAAAAGAATGGAGGAATGGAGAGTCCGGAGATGCGTGGAGTGTTGAAAAAAATTCTGGGCGGGGTTAGGCGGTCGTTTTGTGTTTTTGGTGAGTGGGTTCGCATAGAGTAGAGGATTGTCTACTGCCAGGCTCTATTAAGTCGACATCAACCCGACCCTAGCGATAGTTTAACAAAGCCCACAACCAATCTCCAGTAACTAGCGCTCCGAGAAAAGGTTGCTCAAATCCGATTTTTCAACATTTATTTCCTAGCATAGGAGCGCGTCAAGATCAAGAGCATATACGGTGAATACTCCGTTCTCAGGATATGCTAATCATCTGTTCTCACTCGATTTATTAGCTTGGCGGTCAATTTGGCTACGAAACGATACATGTATGTATGTAGACCACACCACAGCATGCTCTCGATGAGCTACATGGTGCATAGGTTCCCTGTCCTGCAAGATTTCGGTGTGGTATGGCAAGATCTGGATCTACCGCATTAACTACATGTAGCGAGAACAAGAACTGCACTTGGAGAGAATGTTCTGCTTCTCAGGGTAGCGAGTGGTGCTATTCTCAGTAATATATTTTACCACACTTTGTATGGACATCTATGTGCAGTTCTCGCTCTCGCTCTCGCCACTTAATGCGGTATGTAATGGAAGATTTGAAATTTAGGATATGCTCTATATTGATATAGGTTGGCCGCGATTCCTCCAAAGCTCTCGGGAATATAGATTCTGGTAGTATTGATGTGATCAGGTGGTCCCATTGGCAAGGCCTTAGCAGTGAGCACGGGCCACGAAACTTATTCTTTTAGTTTTGACTTTTGCATTATTTAATTCTACCAGAATCAGTATTACAGAGGGTGGTAACATTATTGCGAAAGTGGGTTTCCGTGACCCGATAGTCCTATTGGCTCTTAAAGGAATTTCTGCTGTGAGCACAGACCAAGAAATCCACACCTTTAGCGCTGACTTTCGCATTAATTCTACCAGACTCTGTACATACATGTAGCGGAACGCACAAACGGCATCGCAAGTTGACTCTAGAATGGTCTCCAAACCCACGCTTGAAAAAGTTTTTCTCCGCTAAAGAAAAACCACTAATATAACGCTAGTGCTAGCGCCAGTGCTCCCGCGCTCTACGATCATTGGTCAGTCAATGACGCTAACGCCCACTAACCATTGTACCCACTACCGGTGGAATAAAAGAGCAAAAGAGAAGATATCTTCCGTTGCGGGGAATTGAACCCCGATCTAGTCGGATCATTTTCATGAGAGCGACTGATGCTAACCATTACACCACAACGGATTGATGCGCTGTTAGCGATGTTATATTATTTCAAGGGATGACGTTACGAGATGATGCGCCACAATCCTCAACTTAGTGTTGGGCACAAGCCTAAAGCTCGAGCCAGCTCGGCTCGTGCCTAGCACTATAGGCTGAGACTGAGGCTCAACTGTCGGCGATTCAAAGGGATGGCACACCATCACGCTGTAAATGATCGGGGTGTAACCTCGAGTACATTATCGAATACCGAGGGGACGGGTTCCAAGAGCGAGTATAGGACTATATAAATTGATCTAAAGCCGTCAAATCGAGGGGGGAGTACTATGGGGAGATAACGTACTGAGATATTTCTAGGTTGCGATTTGTATCAACTTGCTATGACGTTTAGTATAGGAATAAGGGCGTGAGGATAAAAGAGCGTATAACTGCTGCTCTTGCCATCGATAGCATTGACTTTAAATCAAAGTAGCAATGTGCGTATTGCAAGGGTTGTAAATAAGTCCTGGAGTGGGAGGAGCATCTGGACAGCGACCATCGGTTCAATGCAAACGGCCTATAGGATTTCCGGGACAGCGGGGGCTATCTGGGAGAAGAGAGGCTAAAACAAAGAAAGAGCTGTGGCAATCCGTGGTTCCGCTGAGTATGGCATACTGCGACACCGGGCTGTAGACTTGAGGTTTGCCCGATCAAGTATGTATAGGTTGACAAATTGAATAAATGTGGAAGCAGTTATTTTCGGACACCTGAGCTGGTTGTCTAAGATCTGTTGGAAGATCCACAGGCTGGAAAGAGTCAAGAATAGTGGTGGTACTGGCTCTGGGGTCAGGAGCTTAGGGGTACATGTAGCTGAGAGAGAGTGAGGGTGGATCTGTATTATGGGGCACTAGCGCGCTATTGATGGCGCTAGTCTGTGCACTGGATCTTCGTATTGCTACATGCACAATAAAGTAAAGAATAAATGCAAAACCAAGGACATCATGCTCTTTATATATGAACGTAACTGCATAACATTATCTTTGACTCGCGCGCGCAGCCGCGGGTCGAAGGACACGTATATTTCAATCTATGTTGTAGTGTTACCAAACAAGCATTCGTTCCGGTGGCCAGCTGATTTGAAGGATCGTGATTATAGACTCCTGAAAAGTTATTTCTCTACACATCTCCCTTGAAATGACTTTTTATTTTTTAATTGCCAAAATCATCAGGGTTAGGGTTGGGCTTGGTTATGATCATTGGCCCTTGTGGTTTGGGACAGACGTTGCAATTGCCCAACCCAAAGTTACATGGTACCAATATAGCGCGGCTAGGTAACCAATCTTTATTTATCAATTACTTGATTTCTAACTAAAATGCCTACCTTTTATTATCAAAGAAAAAAGTCAGGGACTTAGAAGCTTATGGTAGATTGTAATTGTATCTACATACAACTTCGGACATTTTTATCCTTTCGAGTGAGAAGAGTCTGTGCTAGTAGTAGATAAGTAGATAGGTTTTATTTATTGGTGTAGACTTTTACAAAGTCCTCCAGTATTAATATTACCCTAATGTCGGGAAAGTAAGAAAATGCGTATTAGTTACACTGAACCGAGGAAAAGGAAGGGGGGGAGGGATATAAAGGTCGAGAGGGAGGCAAACACAAAAAGGATCAGCAATATAGTTACATGTAACTCTAACCCAGGAGAACAGAACACCTCTTTTTATACACCGACAACCCCCCCCCCCCCCCCACCTCCGTAGACCCATTACAGGAACCCTCAAGCACTTGCCCCCGAGGGCTGTGAGCTGTTGGCATGGAAACCACTAAGCTGCTCCCTTTTCACGGCATACCACGCATCCTTCGTACTTGTACACGCCGCAATGTACTTTGCGCCATTGGCCCTCCCCACAACACCTCCACTTGCGCCCTGCATCCTCAGATTCTCGAACCAATCCCTCGGCAGCCAAACCGAGCGGTTGATCTCCACCCAGATGATTGCCCTGTTTACGCCGCCTCTCGCCACATTGGTGACGCGCGAGTCCTCGCTCCAGCAGAGGTCTCGGGCCGCCGACTGCATGTGGAGGATCGAGGGCACCTGGCAAAGGCTGGGGAGGTGGTCAGAGTCAATGTCGGCGGCGTTGATGACTTCGTAGAGAGGGTTGTCGAGATAGCCGTACTTGAGGAAGACGCGCTTGTGCATGTTCCAAAAGTCGTACCACCCCACAAAGCGCTCGTAGAGATGGATATCGGCGGCTTGCGCTCTCCCTAGCCGTGGGAGGTACAGAGGGTCCGTCGACGGGGGAGGCGAGGTAGGTTCATCTCGCAGCAGCAGCGGTAGTGTCGACGGTGGTGGGGTCCTCCTCATGGTCTCAGGTGCTTTTTGGGTTTTTCATACGTTAGCGGATGGTCTTTTTTCAAGTGAGTTTATGGTGTAAAGCCAGATCCCCCCCCCTATTGGAACCCTCGGGATATAGAGAGATGGTAAAACTCACCGAGCGAGGAACGAGGGTATTTATCATGAAAGTTGACAGCGTCCATAGTCTGTGTATGTGTAGATGGGTAACGAGAGAGACGATGATGGTTCCAGAGATTTGTCATGATGGGGGGGTTTCAGTGGATTTGACACGATATTTATGTAGCTCCGGAGAGAAGAGTAGACATAGTATGGCCATCTAAAGTCGCTAACACTTCGTGGTCTTAAATTCTCCGTAAATGTATCAATTACATCACCCATTTTGGATCTAGTTACAGTGATATATCTCCACTCGAGGAACAAATTCCTACTGCTTTCCATATACATATCAGGTTCCTTTGTGGGGGAGGGGGGTGAGGGTGGGGGATGTTACATGCATCTATAGAGGCCGGAGAAATGTTGATCCGGGACCAAGATGGGAGTTGGCCCAGAGCCAAGATAGGGGAGGTTTGAGTATTTTTCGGACCTGTCAGTCGCCGGTACTTCTGTAGTACTGCTTACACAAAAGAAAATTAGTTGTTTTCGTATACCTATAGGATAGATAGAGAGAGAGAGAGAGAAACTGTTATAATAACGATTGCCATTTCTATCATCAGTGGAAGGTTATGGGATGAACTAGTGGGTGTGGAATCATTGGAGTAGTACTACGAGCATCATGCAGCATTATATTGTTTCATGCAATGACTTGGGGTAGCGCGTTTTGAAATAGGAAGAGAATGTGCTCAGACATGATTACGATTGTGCTAACGGTATATATGCATTCCAGGTTGCCAGCTTCCTGGTATATAGGCCCCCTGTAGTACATGTACTTACATGTAGATTAGACTAGCAGTCAATTATCATTACATGTAGTAAACATGGTAGAGCAGTAGTGCAGTAATACGGTTCGACCAATAGTATGAATAAATGATACCGTACTTTTCCAGCTGCTTAGGACCTTTGTGACGTCCTAATACTGCATGTAGCATATGGTAAACTCTTGACACTATCAGTAAGTGAACATATGCATGAATATCAAATCCAATAACCCGCAAGAAGCCCAACCTGGAATGCCAAAGCGGGCGAACTCCAGCTAGAAAAAGCAGAACTAACATTTCAACATAGAAAAAGCGATTCCTGAAGGGCCAGGATATACCCAGCTCCATGTACTAATTCCTGACTAAAAATCCACTGGCCAGGATCACGTCCCTCCTCCCCCATTGGCAGCCCTTCTCACTTTCAACTCCTCAACAAAGCATTTCAACCCATCCAAGTTCAAGTCCACACCAACCGCATAACCATCAAGTTCCATCTCGACACATCGAGCTTGTAACCGAATCCTACGCCCCCATTTAAGCCAGCAATGTCGCTCTCACCAGCAGCCCAATCAGTATCCACATCTGTCCCATCTTCCTCCAAGCAATCCATGTCCACCGATCTAATCACCCTGGACACTAGTTCTCCCCACGACGGCGCCGACAACGTCTCACCAATCGCACTCCTCAACATGCGCTTCCTGCAGACGCGGATCGACCATCTCCGCATCAAGCTCGAGCACCACCAGGAGCGCTGCAAGGCCCTCGAGCAGAAGGAGGCCGAGCTGACGCTCAAAATGAGGAAGCACGACCAGGCAGAGCTCTACCATTTCTACATGGCCGCGGAGCGCGCAAAGACTAGAGAGGCGCAGGTCAAGACTAGAGCAAAGCTGAGGGAGCTGAAGATGGCCCTGGACGAGCTGTTGAAGAATTAGTAATAATTAAAAAAAAGCTTGCAGGTGAGGTGAAAGGGCGGGGAATCGGCGGGGGGGTGGTTATGTGTGTGTGTGTGTGTGTGTGTGGGTGGGATCGACGCGGACTAATGAGTGTTTGGATGGGCTGAAGAAGAGGTACTCTGTTCCAAGCATATTTTGTGGCTACGTATTGTTATCTAACCGGTCCTTAGTTCCAGATCGTAGGATGAAGAAGAAGAAGAAGAAGAAGCAATATGTTTTAGAGCTCGCTGGCAATACTGTTTCCAGCCGAAAAAAGGCCGCGTATGCACCCCACCACGAGCTCTGGGGGGGGGAAGGTTTCAACTGTCTTCGCGGCGAGCAACAACAATTAAGGACTTATATAACATGGGGGATACAAATTCGACAAAGTGGCATTCTTTACGTGGGGGGGAGGAGGGCATGTGGTAAAACAAAGACTCATGTTCTGGCATTCAAAACTATTTTTTTTTAATAGCATTTAGCAAGAGGGGAAATGATATCAAGTTACTTATGGGTGGCTACGTTGATGTTCAAAGCCCCTGCCACCAAGTACATGTATTTTACTTGAATCAATTCGCGAGCTGGTATCCGGGCACTTGAAATCACAAATGAACGCTGATGCACATAACCCTGGTTGCAAAGCAATCCATGCACATTCTTGGTAGAGACGGTGTGAGATTTCGGTCCCAGCGATCAACAACAGGCACACACACATACTTGTAGTAGAATAAGCTTACTGTGCTGTACCGCGCAGACAACACCACAGCAACCACAACTACATACATACACACATTGTCGCAGCGTGCTCTTCCCACCACCACTGCAGTCCCCGGAGAGAGCGCACAAAGGCTATAGACAGCACTGTCTTTGGGGAGCGCCGGTGTACCCATCAATGCCCTCCCCCCCCCTCGCGGTGCCGGTGATGGAAGTACATAAGACTCACCTCCGGTACTCCCAAGCCCGCATTGTCTTTTCGAAGTAACGTCCCTTGCACCATACGCTCCTACACAGACTCGACCGAAGCCGCCGGCGACTGGTACATATATATATATATATGATATATATCCACCCTGCCGACAACCAAGAAGCCATTAGCACGGACTCGACCGAGCGCTGCAGGCGGCACCACCCACCCACTGCCGAGCACACACGTTGCCCAGCCAGACCTAGACCTATAGGTTGGCAGCCTCGAGGTTGCTCTTGTAGTTCGGGATATGGAAATAGGAGATGTAGTAGTTGGTTTAATATCTTTCGGGACCCGACGGAGGTGGGAATGCGGAGGATGATAGTACCTGCATAGACAGGCAAGGGCGCAATTATTGAACTGTCTTTGGACGCCGAGGCAGATGGTCCTACCACCAGCGGTAACAATGACGCCAAGCCTCGCCATGCTCTCTATACTTCCTTCCAACCACCAAGCGACTGTCAAACCTCCCGATTCACAATGTTCATGGACGGGCAAAAAAGAACGACTATGAGTGTCGGTGCCATGAATCGAACATGGGTCCTCTCGGAGCCGAAGTGACAAGGGGGAGAAACCCCTGTGGGACCACAACGAGAAGTACTAACCACTATACTACACCGACTGCTTAGTTATCATTGGCACAAGAACGCGGTCTATGAAAGTACATAGGTAGGTTGCTGACACACCCGACAGAAAGATGTCGTCGCATCCACCAATCAGTTCAGGAGCGCTCCCGCTCCAATCAATCCGCCAATGTGATGGTCGCAGGGAGGAGGGCGCGACAACCGGTCTTGCGGGGGGTCTCGTTTATCGCTCGCTCGTGGTTGGGACGGAGAAAAGGGAAACAACCCCTTTGTGACATGCAAATAATTTCTGCAGCGCAAGGGGGGAGGGCCTGAGACTTGCGCGGAACCCCACCCCAGGGCAACAGGCTAGAAAGTGTATAGACATAGCGATAGCGGGCGTACTAGTACATGTAGGTAGATGTGGTGTTTGCTACTGGCGCATGGTCATGTGGGGGCTTTCGGGGTGCTGTAAAGGAGGCATCCATCAGCAAAAGTGCCAATCGCAGTCCTGCCGGGCAGCCAGGGCGAATCGGGGGGTATTTGTATTTATGTAGTCTCCCTACCTGCCTGGCATGGATCCGGGTAAACAGTACACAAGCCATGCATTTGTTTACACCCCGGTTGTTGTTGTTGTTGTTAGCGAGTGGCATCGTGCAAGGCTGCAACGGTCTCTCTCTCTCCCCCGCAAAGTCTCAGTCTCAGTCTCAGGGTCCACGTCCACGGTCCACCAGGCAATGATGTAACCGTCAGGCATTGCGTGTTTTGCGTGTTGCAGCAGAGATTAGATTAGCGCTGCCATCGGAACATTCCATATCCGGCCCGATAGCGCGACAGCCCAGGAACACAACGGGGTTTTTGTTTAAAACGCTTGCCTGCCCGCGAGAGAACAGAAGGAAGGTTGGCAGCCAGCGACCAGCGACCACCGACTACCGTCTACCGCCCACCGTCACCGCCCACCGCCACTGCCCACCGCCACCGCCACCGCCCACCGCCACCCAAGCGATCCCCAGCTTCACCAGCCGTCACTCGCACGGATGCAACCATGCGACGTTAGTATCCGTCTGCACACAACCACAACGACCACGACCACCACTGCCATCACACTCATCACACAATAGCCTCTCCTCCCCCTCCTCCTCCCATCACATCACCCCATCCACCATCCACCATCCACCACCCACCATCCACCATCCACCACCCATCATCCACCACAACCACAACCACACCCATCACCATCCACCATCCACCACACAATGAACTTCCATCTACTCCTCATCCTCCTCCCCCTCCTCCTCCTCACCCACCTCACCCCCCCCGCCGCCGCCGCCGTGCTGCGCCCCCACAACACAACCACAACCCTCACGCCCTTCACCTTCCTCGGCCGCTGCACCGTCCCCGCCGCGCACCTGCGCCCCACGCTCGCCGAGCTCGGCGGCCTCTCGCCCCACAGCGTCAAGCGCTGCCAGCCCAGCGCCCAGGGCAGCCCCGCCGCGGCCGACGTCGCGGCGCTCAGCCGCTCGATCCTCAAGCGCCGCGCCTGCTGCGTCAAGAAGCACGGCGCGGCAAAGTGCAGCACGCTGCGCAGGGTGGGCGGCGCGGAGGCCGTCATCTGCGGAGAGGCGGGGTGGTGCCATCCGTGTGGGATGGTGGCGGTGCTGGTGGCGGACATTGCGAGGAGCTGCAGGTGGGGGCAGGGCGGGGAGGTGCTGGCTGCGGGGACGTGGAATGTCAAGGTTGGGGGGCGGGGGAGTGTTACGGTGTTGGGAATGTAGCAAGGGGGGGGGGGGGTTCTGGTTGGTTTTGGGCTTCCCGATTTCTGTTTGTGCGTAGGTGGTGATGGGAATGCTAATGGAGTCAGGTTTCTTTTGTGTTTCGATGAGGGTTTCAAACACGACAGGGTTCCGCACAGGGTGGAGACGGGATATAGGCAGGTTTGGTATCTATTTGGGGGTTGGTGTTAGGACAGTGGGCGTTTGGTTGGGGTTGGGGGTTCTATCCTGAGTGGAAATAATAATACATCATTAAGCCTTCCTTCGCAACACATTTGCACTTTTTGGTGCCCTCGATGTATGTCCCAAAGGAACAAGTGGAGGAGTTCAGCTCTAGAGCTTAAGACCTTCTAGAGCGATGGAAAAAAGATCAAGTTGGAAGTATCGTTTGATATCAAGGACGTTGGGGGCAAGAGCGCTGGGAAGCTTACCATCTTTTCTGGGGGATGTTGTAATGGATTGTGCAAGCACAGAAACACTTTTCTTTCTTTTTTCTTTTACCGGAGATGCCAAAACGGTGGCACAGGCAGGACGAGAGATCTCGAGGAAGAAAGTACTAGGCCGTGTATGTATATAGAAGTCGAGGGAGCAGAGAATACAGATTGTGCTGCTTGAACAGCTGCTGAGGCCCCCCCCTATGATACTGCGATATCAGGCGATGCTACAGTCCAGACAACGCTACAACGACATGTAGCATGCGCAATCAGCTTGAGTTGTGTCCAAAGGGATCAACTGAGGATTACGTGCGTTGAAGACGGAAATATATGAGAGAGAGAGGCTGCCTCGGAGGAGGACGGGGGATATCTAAGCCGGGTTGTTGAGCTGGTCAAATGATTGACAGAGGTAATATAGAAAGACAAGCCCTACTTTGTAATTGATACAAAGACATGTTGAGATTCTTTAACGTCTATCTATCTATCTATCCATCCCCTCTCCAATACAATCACTGCTTCGAAGTATGCCCCCCCCCCCACCCACCCGCGGGCTAGTGTACTGCCAGCCTGCCTTGCCCGGCTCTGAGCCCAAATGAGACTTGCCCCCACATATATTCAAAGCCCAAGTAGAGCAGAAAGCCCTTTGCGGGAAGAATCCCCTAGCGGTGGTTTCCAGGAGGGCTTTCTCCTGCTGGCCTGTGGAGGCTGGAGATGCTAGTATGTGCGTGTCGATCGCTTGTATGTATGTATGTATGTATGTATGTGTGCTGATTTGACTGTGGGGGGGGGGGGTGTTACTTTGTTTGTTTGCGGCCGGTATTGCGGTTGGCTCCCAACCGGTTCTGGCGTTGGGTTTCATCCGCATCTTGAGGTGGCGGGGCTGGTGGATGTGTGGTTGCGCTTGGGTTAAAAGAGGGTTTTTCTTTGGTGGCCGCAGTGGTAGTGGTGGTAGCAGTGATGCGGAATGGGCCTGCCTGTATGGAGTGAGTGATACATGTAATTATATGTGGTTGTTCTCACCTGCCAGGAGAGCACTGAAGTAACCCCACTGCCCCACTGCCCCACTACCCCACTACCCCACTACCCCACTACTTCACTTTCGCGGATAATCGCAACTAAGCCTCTCCCACCAACCTCTTTTATGTACAACACTGTTCTGGTACACGGAGAAAGAAAGGAGGAACGCTCTTCCTGGTCTTTATCTTGAGACCTATCCGATTCTCCACCAGGGAGGGGGTTTCCACTGTTTTCGATTACCTACTATGCTGCATACCCTCCTATATATGGTCGGCGCCGTTCTCTTCTTCCTCCTCTGAGCCTCTGCTTCCTGTTCATGGGTCTCTTGCGCGGCCTCCGCTCATAGCTAACAACCTCCCCCAATCGCTGGCTATTGGCCTACTCCCTCCTACCAAAAGAACGTAGCCACAAAAGCCCGTGAGATGTTGAAAAGGAGGTATTCATGGTCGCCAGATATGATCGACGGTAGGACCACCACCACCTTGGGCAACTCCTGAACTGCACTCAGTAATCCCATTTCGACTTTCTGGTTGTGCTGCTCCGATCCCCGCGGGATCTAGGAGGTAGGTAGGTAAAACGAAAGAAAAAAAAGAATGAAATTAGCTCCGCCAGGGAATTGAACCCACTATACTGGCTGTCGTACTCAGTTTCCTTTCCAGTGCATAGACCACTATGCTAACAAAGCTTACAGGAAGACATACTGGGGGGGATGGTAAAGATGAGACCTGGTGTACGCGTGGTGAGCATCTAATCTAATCTCTCGGGCTTACTTACTACCCTAACGAGTCGATCTATTGCCTCGAGTTTTAGTGATTCAGACGCGGCGAGGCTCCCACCAAGCCTCGTGTCGTCCCATCTCGCATCTATCACTATCCCCTCGATCCATGATCCATTTATGTCCTTTTTTTCTTTCGATTTCCGCTAATCATATTTTATATGTCCTGGAGAACTGGCTGGTGAAGGTATGAAGGGCAGTCCTATTTTGAGACCTCATGTGGATATTCCGAGCTGACTGGAGGTAAGGAATGTTCGGGGGTCGAGGTCGGTCTTAGCCTCAGGAGAAGAGCAGTGTATGCCGGAAAGGAGCATTGGTATAGTAGGTGGAGATCGTGGCGGGGAAAGGATCTGAAAGAGGTATATGTCTGCTACGACATATGGTCCACTTGGGGTGTGGGAGATAGCCTTGTTTCCGCTCACTCAGTAGTACTACGGAGAGTGTTTATTCACTACTAAGCCGTGTTTGAAAGCTACTGGAGTCGGGGTATAGTCTCGCGTGGTTCGAGATGGGAGGGCAGTAGATATGAGGAGGGAAAGGGAAATGGGTGGAAAGGTGCCCCCCCCCCCCGGCTGTCCCACAATATTCAACTAATTTATTTTAGGTATTACGCAGTGCAAACCGTGTTTTTATCGCATATCCTAGCCCGCGCTCACTGCACCTTTGTCAGCTCATAAACATTAAGTGTGCGACAGAAGACCGGCCAGTATTCTACCGTCCGCGGGAGGATCCTATTTTTTTTTATGTACATCTCCTCAGTAAACTATGGTGGATAGTTCAAAATTATCTTCAGTTGACTCATAATCATGACTGTTTTCCATGTTAGGGAATCATCGAAAGCTGCATATGAGGGAGGATTGATCGAGGCAGTGACGCCGGAAATCTCTGATAGCCTTAATCCCTCCAGAGGTACATACTCTCAGTTGACAGGCTCTCTGACACGCTATCATTGGCCATGGGTTAGGAGCTTTTGTATGAATAGGATCAAGGGAAGGCGTCAATGCTAGTACGCGACGGGGTGGAGATTACAGCAAGAGAGACAATAAAGGAAGCAACTTTCT